CTGCGGGGCCGACGCCGGGTAAGCACAGGCCAGGCCGGTGGGTCCCCGGCCGGGGATGAGCCCGGCCGCGTCGGGGGGAGGTGGCCGGGCCGGCCTGGGATGGGGGCGCGCCTTGCTGCTGTGTCTCCTTGCGGGGCGGCAGCCGCCGTGGCTCCTCAGGGGCAGAGCGGTCCGGAGTGACCCGGGACGGGGACCGAAGGAACTGGGCACACCTTTCCCTCCTCGCCCCCTCCCCCAGCCGCCCGAGATGGGCTCCTGCCATCTGCCCTGGAGAAGTCTGGGAGCCCCGGGGTCTGAGGACCTTGGAGATCCAGGCGTTGCGGTTGGGGGGCACGGGTTCGTTCCCCTCCGGATTTTCGCGTGGAGAGGGGCATTTGGTCTGTAAGGACTCCCCGTGGTCCAGAGCAGGTCCTCATCATGACGGAGACTCCCAGGCTACCTCCAAATGCTGACCTTCACCCCGCCCCGCAATTGGAGAACAGAAGGAAAACAGACCCATCTGCTGTCCCCCTGAGCAAGTCAGAATAGCGCCAGGAATCAGAGCCAGGAGACCCAATCTCAGCCCTGCTCTCTACTCTGCTACCCCTGAACCCGAATCCCCCAAAATTCATCTGAGTGACTTGCTGAGTGCTTTCTGGTGGGTGCCTTTCAAGGCCCTCTTCCTCAGCCTCAAATCCTTCCCCCCCTGGGCGGTCACCTCGGGCACCTGGACTGGAACCCGTTTGCTCCATCGCCCTCTGTGGGCCAACAGAGGCATGACGCCAGGGCCTGTGGGCAGGGACCTTGCAGGGTCCCTTTCCCAGGAAGCTGCCCTTGGATGCTGTGGCTTGGTCTGGTCATCCTCAGGCTCTCTCCGGGTCTCCGGGTGGGGAGCCCAACCGTGGCGCTTAAATCATTTGGTTAGGAACCTTGGATGTCAGGAGAGTGGAATGTCCTGTTTTGGCCAGAAGGGCCTCTGGAAACAAGTCTTACTACATCCATTGTGTCCAGGGGGAGATGAAAGCCAAAGTTCCTCGGACAGTCCTCTGCAGAGCTGGGACTCTCACCCTTGGCACGCTCCTCAGGTCCCAAGCCTCTAGCCTGCCCCCCCCACCCCCCGGTGGAAAGGGATCCTGTCCCCAGCCACCCACTCAATACAGCTGAGTCGCTCTACTGGTGGAGACTTTGGAATCACGGTGGCCTGGCTCCGGGGTCAGGAGGTGGATGACCCGGACATTTGAGCCCACTGCCCGCCTTTGCCCACAGGCCACAATGCTGCTCGGGGCCTCTCTGGTGGGGGTGCTGCTGTTCTCCAAGCTGGTGCTGAAGCTGCCCTGGACCCAAGTGGGATTCTCTCTGCTGCTGCTCTACCTGGGGTCCGGCGGCTGGCGCTTTGTCCGAGTCTTCATCAAGACCATCAGGCGCGATGTCTTGTGAGTACCTGACTCAGCCCTTCCCCTACACCGTGCTGGGCTCTAACTCCCCAGACCAGACCTCACAGCCTCTGCCAGTACAGGGTACCCAGGACCCAAAGGAGCAGCTTCTGCTCCACATCTCCCCCTCTCCCCCCACCCCGGCAGTAGCACCTGCTGCCTCCACCTCCAAGGTCAAAGTCTCCTTGGTCTGGGGCAGACTTGGGGGCTGGGACATACACTGAATAGCAGATGTCCAAGAGATATCTGCGAGGGCCCCCAGGGATACGCTGTGCTGGAGAGAGGGTGAAGAGGAATGTTGTCTTTGGGCGTTGGCATGAATTCTAGAGCAAGGCCCCAAATTAGGTGTCTGGGAGCACCTGCTCCCCCCAAAAAAGTCAGGGATGTGCTGTACCAGAAGCACCTGCCGCCACCTGCTTCACTCCAGGTGCCAGGCAGGCTCTGAGGCCACAGAGGAACAAAGCAGGCCCACATGGGCCGCTCAGCTTGGCCAGGGAGGGAAGAGGACCTGGGGCAGCCCTGGGCAGACAGCCATGTGGACAGAGACCCTGGCCGCCCACAGGGGCTCAGCAGCAGCGCCCGCCCAGGAGAGGCAGCTCTGCGTTTGTCCACCTGAGTTGATTGCAAAAGGAAGAATCAAGTGACCTGTGCAGCGAGCTGTGGGAGCCTGAGCAGGGAGGGTGGCTTCCAGCCAGGGCCTCAGGGGGGCCAGAGTTGCACTTGAGAGGCATCTCCAAGAGCTGGGAGCAGAGGAGTCCAGCCAGAGGTATCAGCAAGTACATCAGCCTGATATCAGCAAAGGCAGTGAGGCGGCGAGCTGGACTCGGGGCAGAGGGTGCAGGGTGGGGCGGGACGGGGAATACCAGGCCATTCCACAGACACTTATTGACCGTCTCTGTGCCTGGCCCGGAGCTACCCAGGGGACATGGTGGTGAACAGGACAGAGTGCGCCCTTACTGGGGAGGACTGGACAGATCGCAGACTCATCGTTTATGTACTGTGATGAGGGGGTGGGGAGCCACGGGAGGCCCCAAAAGGCTTCAGACTTTGACTCGGGGCCCTAGTGTCCTGGAAGGCTCCGTCAGCAGCTGGCTTGGGACAGAGCTTAGAGGGGAGCAGGAATTGACTCCGGAGTCAGAGGGGACTGGGGTTCCGGTCTCCATTGGGCCACATGCCACCTGAAGCCCGAGGCGGGGCTGGCACTGGCCCAGCCTGGCCTTCCTCCTCCAGGCAGGAGGAAGTGACCCCCTACCACGCTGCCTCGGGCATGGGGCGAGGTGGAGCACAAGATAGCGATAATGCTGGAAAGGGGCACACGTGGTGGAGCCCCTCGTGCATGGCAGCCCCTGGCCGCTGGCGGGACGCCCGCTCCCGCCGGCGATAGCAGTCACACCCAGCACTCTCTCCCGCAGCGGCGGCATGGTGCTTCTGCGGGTCAAGGCGAAAGTTCGCCGGTACCTGCAGGAGCAGCGGACGGTCCCCGTCTTATTTGCCGCTACCGTGCGGCGCCACCCTGAGAAGACGGCGCTGATCTTCGAGGGCACGGATACCCACTGGACCTTCCGCCAGCTGGATGACTACTCGAGCGGCGTGGCCAACTTCCTGCAGGCCCGGGGGCTGGCCTCGGGCGACGTGGCAGCCCTCTTCATGGAGAACCGCAATGAGTTTGTGGGCCTGTGGCTGGGCATGGCCAAGCTGGGCGTGGAGGCGGCGCTCATCAACACCAACCTCCGGCGGGACGCCCTGCGCCACTGCCTGACCACCTCCCGGGCCCGCGCCCTCATCTTTGGCAGCGAGATGGCCCCGGGTGAGCTCCAAAGGGCTGGGGGTCCGGCAGGGCGTCCCACGGGACCTTGCACCGCCCCAACTCCCTTCTGGCTGTGTGGCTCAGTGGGTAAGGCCTGGGCTCGGCCTCTGGTCAGCTGAAGATGCTGAGTGAGAGACGGAAGGGCCTGTGCCTGTCTCCTCACCGCAGTACCCACCTCACGCCGCCTTCGGGCGGCTCCCCCTGGAGCACTGACTGGTGCTGGGGGAGCCTCCGATAGACTGGTCGCGACTAAGGAGGCCTCAGTCACCTCAGCTAGAAAGTGGGAGCCAGACGCCTTCCCTGGCCTCGGGCTGCGCCTGCATTTCACTGCCACCTTGGGTGGGGACCAAGTACCGGACGGGAGATTTACGAGAGCTGCCCTGGTCCCCACAAAGCTAGTGAGGTCACCAGCTTTAAAGATGAGGAGACCGAGGTTCAGAGTGGGGTGAGGAATGCAGCCAAGGTCACCCAGCTGGGGTGGCGGAGCTGAGATTTGATCTCGGACTCGGCCAAGTGTCCTGTTTCTTCTCCCGGCGCTGCTGCGGTTGTGGGTCATGGAAGGCCCTGAAAGGGGAGGAGGAAGGACGCAGCGGAGGGGGGGGTGGATGAATCTGGAGGGAGCCAGAGGGCGAGGAGCTGCGCGTCTGCAGTAGGCGTCTGCAGAGGCTGGGGCGTCGCTGCCCGCTGCCCCCCGTCCTGCCTTGCGCTGGCCCCGCAGAGCCCAGCGTGCCGTGGGCGGCTGTGAGGGGCCGGAGCTGTTGTTGGAGCCCGGCGCCTGCGCACCCCAGCGCAGGCGGGTCCTGCTCTCAGAGCCTCGGCGTCCTCGCTGAAAAACGGGGTGTGTGGTGCCTCCCCTAGGGTGGCTGCTTAGAAGCCCGTGATGGCGGGAGCCAGCAGAGGCCCTGGGCCCGGGGCCTCCTGGCCTGCTGATCCGCCCTGTCTCCCCTGCAGCTGTCTCCGAGATCCACGCCAGCCTGGACCCCGCCCTCAGCCTCTTCTGCTCCGGCCCCTGGGAGCCCAGCGCTGTCCCCACCGGCACCGAGCACCTGGACCCCCTGCTGGAAGACGCTCCCAAGCACCTGCCCAGTCGCCCTGACAAGGGCTTCACAGGTGGGCCCTACCCCGCAGAGGGCTCTGAGAGGGCCCAGGACCGAGCGCTGGCCTGGGGTCTTCTGCGTAGGTGCTGTGACCCAGGCCGTCACGCCACCTCCCTTCTTCCTCTGGGACGGGTCGGGGAGGGGGGTCACCCTGGGGTCACTGTGGAATTTAAGTGAGCTGAGGTACGTGAAAGCGCCAGGCACGGAGCCCGCACCCGGGAGACCACAGTCTTACCAGACTGGTGCCGCGTGCGGGCCTGTGGGGCCCAGGCAGCCTCGGCCTGGCATTGGCTGGGACGGTGGGGGCGGGGGGGCTCGGCCTGATCGCCCATCTGGCACCAGTTCCTGGGAGCCTCTCCTGTCACCGCCTGCCCCCACCAGCCTTGGCCCCCCTCCCCCCCCGCCTGCCTTCTGGGGCCCCTGCAGGCCAGGTCGGATCCTGGCTCCTCTGCCTGGGGGGTCCCAGAACTCCTGAGCCGCCCTTTGAGCCTTGTTGCCCACAGCCATACACTTGGAGATGGAGACAGCTGGTTTTATGGGGTGGTCTGGACCCCCAAAGGCCAAGCAGGCCAAATCCTGAAACAGGTGTGACGGGAAGAAGTCACCTGACTGCTCATGGCACTGTCGCCTGGGGCCTCTGGCCCAGCAGATCTTATCTCCTGGCTGCGGGCATGCTGGCGGCTTTGGCATGGTGCCCAGCCTGAGGCCTCCCGAGCCCACCAGAAGGCTGGTGCAGCCTCAGCCTCAGGCCCAGACCATCACATAGGGGCAAACATGACAGAGCAGGTCACGGAGGTTCTCGTCTCCCGTGTGTGTAAGTCACGCTCACACCTTGCCGCGGCCTGAGGTGTGCGGCCGTTGTGTCTGGATACTGCACACCTTCACTCAAACACACTTTGCTGCCGAAAGACAAAACAAAGCAGCACAGGCTGCTGGGAGATGGCTCCCGCTGGCCTGCAGGACGCGGGGTCGCCACGCCGCGGGTCTGCAGAGGCTGCTCCCTGCCGCGTAGAACAGGCTGAGCCTTGGACAGAGCCTGCCCCGCTCGGGCCCGCAGAGGGGGCTGGAGAAGGGGGCAGTGGCGCGAATCTGGGGAGCCTGCTCCCTGCAGCAGCCCTTCCCCTGTGCTCGGGCCCGCCTCTGGGAGCCCTCCCCGCAGCCGGGTCACCTGGCTCCGCTGGGCTTTCCACCCCGTCTCCGCCTGACTGTGCCGCTCGGCGGTGACCTCTGCCAGGGCAGGGCCTGTGCCCATTTAGTCCCCGGTGACCCTCTGACCCTGGCCAGAGCGAGGTCCCAGGAAGTGTTCAGTGAAGGGACAGATGTGGGCGTCAGAGGGGAGAGCAGTGTCTGGGACCACCGCGGGCTTCTCGGAGGAGGTGTGCGGGTTGCGGGCGCTCACGTGTGGCAGCTCACCGGTCTGTCTCCTCCAGATAAGCTCTTCTACATCTACACGTCGGGCACCACCGGGCTGCCCAAAGCCGCCATCGTGGTGCACAGCAGGTGAGGGGGGCGCGCGGGAGCGAGGGTGGGAGCGGGAGCGGAGGCCGCGGCCTCTCCTCGCCCCTGAGCCCAGCCTCCCCGCAGGTATTACCGCATGGCCGCCCTGGTGTACTACGGGTTCCGCATGCGGCCCGACGACGTGCTGTACGACTGTCTGCCGCTCTACCACTCCGCAGGTGATCCGCGCCCCTCGGCCTCTGCGCACGCAGGGCCCCGCCCCGCCCAGGCAGGCAGCTTGTTACCCAGGAGCCCGGGCTGGGTCACGGCAGGGCAGAGGTTCAAACCCGGCCGTTGCCTCCACTGCCGAGTGAGGCGGCCTCGCCGGCCTGGCACCATGGCCGTGCCCTCGTGTCCAGGCCTCGCCGGCCGGGCACTGTGGCCGTGCCCTCGTGTCCAGGCCTCGCCGGCC